AAAAAAATTAATTGCTTATTTATGAAAATTGTTAAACGATGCAAGGCATTATAAAAATCTACAAGTATAAAAAATATTTTTTTCAGCTGAAAACCTTTTAAAGGGTATTAGATAAAGGTAGCTGCTTTTGCTCAACGCAAAGRAAGAAAGCTAGAAAAGCACCAACGTTTAACTTTACGAATCCTTACACTTGTTTCTAGTGTAAAAAAAWWWTTTTTTATACATTTACTGTWAACAAAAGTTATGAATTCTCGCTAACATTTCAAATTTTTTCACTTTCAGCACACATTTCCACATAAAAAGATACAAAATATTTTGGCAACAGAAAAATATCAAATCAATATCAATTGCAACAGAGGAGTCTACGGAATAGATCGAACAACGCTGCAACGTCTACACTTGTGGTGAGTACGAATATGCGACAACAAGTGCATTTAAGAGTATATAAATAATAGGGTGGGGCAAAAAGCATGCAATTTTCCATAAAATCTATGAAAAGGTGGACCTTACCATTAGGAAGTCATTTTGGGTAGTCGAAAAAGTCTTTTCGTATTTTGTCAATAGATGTCGGAAGGGGAGAATGCCATAAGAATGGTACATATTTGTTTATTTATTTATTATTATAAATATAAAATAAAGTTAAAATTTGATTAGAAATGCGAAAAGACTTTTTGGACTACCATATATTTGTCGAAATATTCTTAGAGGTTTTTCTGAGTACCAAGCGAAAAAAATATAATTTTTTTTGCTTTTTACCTAACCTAACAGACACATATCCATTTACTTATGTGAGAACAATTTTAAGCAGCAAGGCGTCTTAGCAGACGTGAAGCTAAAACCTACACACCGCTTTTTTGTGTTTCGTGTTTAATTACAAATAAATGAAACTGTCAAAAAGCCGGCAACAACGCATGTGGGCACATATTTACACTTACATGAACACACGTACACATATAGAGTCGATATGGAAAAAAAATTGCAGCACATAAATCAGTGTGACACTAATGAGGCGATATACTCAAGACATTCAAATGAGCATATACACACACATATTCACATGCATAAATGCATATTTACATATGTAGATATAAATATATATTTACATACATATGTAATTATTAAGCGAATAAAGTATGTAAATGCGCGCTCACATAGTCAAAACATATRGATAAATTGAGGTGTAATGAAAAAATGTGATTTGCGAAAAATTCGCAGAAAATAGAATAAATTTTCAGACACATGTATGCACATGAAAACACATACATATTTGGTTGAAAAAAAAACGAGTACTTATGAACAGCTTCTAAGTCAGGCGGCTTTTCCATAACATAATGATTCACAAACGAGATAAATGCTGATTTTTGGGCTTTTTAAACAAATTTTCACAAAACCAGAAGAGACGTCAACTTTGGCAAAACATAAATTTTAATAATATCCCCCACTGGTGCACTTTTTATAGCATCAGAGGGTATAAAGAAATCTGTATTTTGATCTTGAGTGGCAGTTTGTATGGTAGATATAGCTATAGTGGTCCAATTCGGAAAATTTTCCAGATATTATAGCGTTATCTTAGAAAACAATACTTACCAAATATCATTAAGTTATCTTTTCAAATCAAAAAGTTTTTCATACAAGAATATGCTAGAGTTCTTCGAACTGAAGCAATTGTTCAAAGATTGTAGCATTACCTTGGATAATGAACTAGGCAAAATTTCATGAGGATATCTCATCAAATAAAAGCGATTTCCATACAAAGACTTGTTTCCGATCSGTCAGTTTGTGTGGCAGCTGTAAAGTATAATAGTCCGATCTGAACAAATTCKTCTAAAAATGTGCCGTTGGTTTGTACAATAGGCTATGCAAAATCTCAAGAGGAAACCTTAACAAATAAAAAAGTTTTCCAAACAAATATTTTATTGTGATCGTTCAGTTTGTGTGGCAGCTATATGCTACAGTAGTTCGATATCGGCGGTTCCGACAAATGAGTAGCTTCTTGGTGAGAAAATGACGTATGCATAATGACAGCTCAATATCTCAAACACTGAGAGGCTAATTCGCATATATAGAGATGGATATACGGGCATCGGCTTGGTTCGTCAGGTTGATCCCTTATACTATATATTATATATTCTCTGACAAAATCAATATACCCTGTACAGGATACAAACTAAATATATATTTACTTCGTATGAAGAATACAATTAACCGAAAAAACTAGACAACCAACGCCATCCAKCGTATTTATTTATTTGCGTAATTTCGCTCGTAGATATAGCTTTTTTTCAAATTTTATTTCTCCAGGCTTTTTTTTTATTTTTGAATGTCTCAAAAAAGTCCAAATAATTAATTAGTCTCAAATAGTTAACGCAAATTTGACGAACAACAACCACTTCTATATATATAAGTACCTAAATATTGCCTATACGTACATATGTTTATAATGAGATTGAAAACAAAATTAAAATTATGCGAAAAAGTGTCTGTCAATTTCGTTAATTATGCGCAAAAAAAACTTTGTACTCGCTGAATGACAGCCAAACGGGCCGACGRTTGAATGGGCGCTGATGTGACAAACCGGGTTCGGTAGGATGTAGGCAACTACACACAGGTTGCAGAATGAAACATTTGTCGCGCGGGGCAGGCCAAAAGCAAAAAAAAGCACGACGAGTGCAAATGCGAGTACGAATTGTATCTTGTAGATACATTAAAGCAATCGCAATGCTATAAGTGCATATAACCTATGTATGAGTGTGTGTGTGACATGACAAGTACGCGAATTCGGTTGTTGTAGAGCAATCGTGCTTGCGAAAAAAGCGCTATAAGCACACAGAAAAAAAATGTAGCATGTACTTTTTTTTTGTCATAAATGTATGTGTACATTCTATAAATATTTATATATGTATGTATGCGTGTATGTATTTGTAATATTTTATTGGTGTACGTGTGCTAATTTTATGTGCAGATATTGTCTATAAATAAAAGTAGTTAACGAAATTCCATATAAATGGCATATATGTATGGGGTCTCAAAGCTCTATCCGGTCGGAAGGAAATATCAAACAATTTGGAAAATATGTTTTTAAGCTTCAAACCTCGTAACAGATTTTTGTCAACAGTTGCAGAAATTTAAAATTTATAAACAATAATTTGAGAGTTCTGTTAAACGTTAAACAAAAATTTAAAATATTAAAAAAAAAATTAAACAATTATAAAAAAGGTTTAAATTTAAAAATCTTTGA